AGTTCTATTATGTTGCCCTCGGTAGAGTGCCATGGCGCCACAGCTCACAGCAACCTCAAACTCTTGGGTCCAAGCGATTTTCTTGCCTCAGCCTCCCACCACAGGTGCCTGCCACAATGCCTGGCTATTTTTTTTTGTTGTTCCATTTGTCATTGTTGCTTAGCTGGCCTGGGCTGGGTCTGCACCCACCACCCTCTGTGTATGTGGCTGGCGCCATAACCACTGTGCTACAGGCACCCAGCCAAGATAAAATAATTCTTATCTATTTCATAGAATTAAATCAGGAAATCAGGCAAGTAGAAAAAGAGGGGGGAAAAAAACCCCTTTTACCTGCATGTTTAGTTGGATCGTAATAAAGAACAGCCAGTAGGTACTGAAACCCTTTTCTCAGCAAGGACAACATTACATCCGCATAGCTGAAAAGAAGAGGAAAGTTTTTGTTGTATTTCTCTACATAGGAAAAGGCTGGAGGGGGGCAAGAGGCAGGGAAGGAAGCTGGCATTTGCTTTCATCAACATTATTGAGTTTAATTCTCCTAAAAATCACATGAAGTCACTCTCATTTTAAAAGAACTGTGTTCAGCAAATTATGTCTGTCCCCTCCCCGATCTGGGAAATGGTCAAGATGGGAACCAAATGGAGGCCTGCACCTACTGCTGGTCTGCACACAGTACCAGTCAGACCAGAAGACCTCACCCTGGGATGAGCAGAGGCTCCTTCCAACATGGTGTGGTATGCGGGTGCCTGTTGACCTTGGAAACATACTGCCCAAAGGATTGCTGTGCTTCTGTGTGCTTGACAATAGTGGTTCCTAGACCAGGCTGGATGTCAAAATCTCCTGGGTACTTGTTGAAAGAAAAGCTGCTTGAGCTGCATCCCCACAGACTGATGTAGTAGGTCTTCTGTGGGGCCTGGGATGCTGTGATTTAATACATATCCTGGGTGACTGGGACCTGTCTAGGGGCGTATGTAAGAGGTACGAAATAATCTCTTTCCTCTACTTCGTTGGAGAGAGAAAAGATTGACAATCAGGCCAAAAAGGGTGGCATTAAAGTTTTAGAGCTGGGCACAGTAGCTCATTGCTAGTACTCTGGAAGGCCAAAGCAGAAGGATCACTTGAACTCAGGAGTTCTAGACCAGCCTGGGAAAATCAAGACCTCATCTCTATTAGCCAGGTGTTGTGGTGAGTGCCTGTAGTCACAGCTGCTCAGAAGATTAAGGCAGGAGGATCACTTAAATTCTGGAGTTTGAAGTTGCTGTGAGTTAGGCTGATGCCACAGCATTCTAGCCTAAACAACAGAGAAAGACTCTGTCTCTAAACGAACGAATGAATGAATGAATGAAAAATTAAAGTTCTACAAGTGTGACATAAGCCATGAGGGCTCCTGGAACCATCCTTTGAGTAGGTGCCTCAGGGAACAGGTGATGTCACTTCCCAGCCAGGTCTGGGAAGTTCAGAGAGGGGGCCTGACCCTACTGGGACCCATCAGTAGACTGATCAGGAGCCAGGGCTGGGCCTGGTACAGAACAATGAGTTGGATCAATCAAATCCCTCACTTGGACATTAAGAGAGCAAAGAGGCATTGCTAGTTAGCTGTGGTCACTGTACCAAAAGCTGGAGTTTTTGTGCTGTGTGGAGGTTGAAGCAAGGAGGTGGGAAGCTGTCAGCAAGTCAGCTATGTGGGAATAGAAATGGAGAAAGCAGAGGGGTAAGGACAGGTCAGAGGAGACGCATGCAGAGAGGAAGAGAGGCCAGGAGAGCCAGGCCCACAGACACGGACAGACTCCTCTGCTCTGAGAAGTCTGCCTTTCTGATCGTGGTCCCTGCCCAGAGCTGTGTGGGATGTTAGTGAGGAGGTGCAGTGTGGGATTAGGAATGTGGATTCTGTGAGATGCCCGAGCCCAGCTCCTCCACTCACTGGCTATGTAAGTTTGAGAAATTCTTAATCTCGCCATGTCACAGGTTCCTCACCTGCAAAACAGGGATAAGACTAGTAACCACCTCACAAGCTGCTGTGAGAATTCAAGAGAGGATCACTCTTCCTTTCAGGTGAAAGAACCAGACCAAAGCAAACTTTTGAGCAGAAACCTTTACTTCCTAACATTCTAATTCTTGTTCTTAAGTGGTAAGAAGAAACTTGCTGTCCCCTTGAAGGGGATCAGTCAGACTGGTTTGGCAAGGTTTCCTAAGACTGACAGGCTTCATTCCTTTTGAAATGTAGACTTTGTCTCCCAACCAGCCTCACAAAATTCAGAGAAATGAGAGAAGTATGCCCCACTGATTTATGTTAGGCAAGAGATCTGAAGAGTCATTGCAGAAAATACATCAGTATTGCAATGCATAATCTAAGCAGAAGACTCTTAGTACTGACAATAGCACTGAGACAAGGTACTGACACGCGAAGTACCAAAATACCAAGTCCCAGTGTGTAGAGTAATTTGTCTTTTTCTTGGTTCAAAGTAGTAGTTATTTTGGTCACAAAGGCCAACATGTTCTCAGGTGTGCTTGGGCCTGTGACTGCAGCACACACTCTGCTGGGAAGGGAGGGAAGAAGCAGCGTGGGAGAACTAGGGAGGACACAAGAACTGGCCACGCTAGAACTGGATTCCCTAAACAAGAGTTCTGGAAGGGTCCTCCAGACTCCTCATGAGTCACGAATTAAACAGTTCAGAGTCTACTCAGATGGTCTTTATTTTAATTTAAAATTTTTTGAGACAGAGTCTAACTACTCTGTCGCCCCAGGCTAGAGTGCCATGACATTACAGCTCACAGCAACCTCAAACTCTTGGACTCAAGAGATCCTCTGGCCTCAGCCACCCAAGTAACTGGGACTACAGGCACTTGTTACAACTCCTGGCTAATTTTTTCCATTTGTAGTAGAGATGTTCAGGCTCCTGAGCTCAAGCAATCCACTTGCCTCAGTCTCCCCGAGTGCTAGGATTACAGATGTAAGCCTTTGTGCCCAGCCTTCAGATGGCCTTTATATCCAAGGACAAATGATGTGGTGATGGTTAGCAGGAAACAGTCTATTTCTCTTGCACGGAGTCCAATTTTCTTCCATACATTTATTCAAAAAACATTTATTAAAGTCTAGGTACAGTGGCTCATGCCAAATCCTATGATTTTTAGACAAAGCTGGTATTGGACTTAGGTCTCCTAATTCCAAATACAATAAGCTATTTCAAACTAGTATAAGTCCAGCTAATTTTCTGCACCCCAGAAAAAGTACTGCGTATTAAATTAAGAAGGTTTAAAAAAAGAGAGAGAAACCAGCATAACTAAAGAAACTAAATTACTCACCATTCACGATCACCTGGATTAATGGCCACTAATGCTCCTCTATCCCAAATCCTGTCAAATTTGCCAATATTTGTTCTACGAGAAAGAGAGAAAGTCCAACATTTTATGTAAGAAAAATCAAATCTTTAGTAGAATGAACCATGCCCCCCATGGCACATGCTGGTACTTCACCAATTGTCAAGAAATTAAGATCTCATGTTTTTTCCTCATGGAGTCCATAATGATGTGCTGATCTGGGTATGAGGAGTGTCTACTTCCCGTGGTTGTAGGAGCCCGAGACAGCAGCCTTCCCATTCTGATAAGACTTAAAATACCGTGTGTGACAACTCTGCTCCCAGTACCTGGCTCAGGTATTAGACTTTCAGGAGATTTCTCTTCCCTCTCCGCCTTAAAATTCATTTCTGTTACAGGCTAGGTGCAAGGTAGAAGACATTGTCTTATTCTCTTTTCCTTTTCTCTACCTGTCTTTAGCCATAATAACGTTTTCCATAGTTTGGGAGCTATCTAAAGACAAATGTATGCAGGTATCTAGGCTATAATACAAACAACTGCAGAATAAAATGCTTCATGGATATTACAAAAGAGGATGGGAGTGATGGAAAGACCTCCACCTTTATACCCACGTTGCCTACCAACCCCTCAAGTGTTTCAAAAGTATAGATGTAGTATTCAGTCCTACCTGGGAAGATCAAAAATGCTGCAACAATACAATGAAATGTTCCCTGAAGAACTCTGTAACGAAACAATGAAAAAATTTTTTTCTACTTACTTAGTAGATATATATATATATATATATATTTTTTTTTTTTTT